TGAAAGTGTCAATGTATGGAGTTTCTGCCTAAATCAGTAGTGAGAAAGGAAGAGAAATGATTGGAAGTGAAAATTTAAAAAAATCTGACTTTCTATCCAATACCTTTATGGAAAAGGAAGAACAGAAAAAAATGTGCATTACTATGTTAGCTGGGACTCTTTCCTTTTGAGCATACTGTTGAAGACAACAGGAAGGGAAATTTGTGATAATGCTTAAGACAATACCAACAGCAGCATTGGGAAAAGTCTGATAAATTGTTTTAAGATTTAAGGCTAAGAATTTTTTCAACATCTCAGATGCTCCTTCCAATTTAAGAATTTATAAATATATAATTAATTTATACAATTTCTATTTCATTCTTACCCTGCCTGTCTATCACAGAGATGTTTTTTAGAACGAGAGCAGCAGACACTGTACGTTCATTCTGTGGCATTGAATCAAATGCCATTCATGATTCTTTAGTGCAATTACACTCTACCTGAAGCTGAACAAGAATATGTGTCCTGGAGCAAATTAAACCTGATATGTTGTTAGAGGCAAAATGACAAAACATCATGAGAAGGAAGGTAGGGATCTTTGGAAAAGACAATGATGCTGGTAATAATATAAGGCAGCAGGAAAAGAGGAAGAACAAATATGAAATGGATAGATTCCATAAAAGAAACCGTAGACATGAATCTACAAGAGCTGAGTAGGACTGTTGAGGCCAGGATATTTTAGGCATTACTCATTCATAGGGTCACCAGGAATGAGTCAACTTAAGGGCAGGTAACACACACAAGCAATACATTTCAGTGGAGCAATCAGGAAAGGTTTAATGCATTGGAGCACCAAATACTAATTTCTGAATTGGACTGATGATAGTTTAAACGTGTTAAGTGAGACTAAAGTGACCTGACTGGTAAAGATGATTTCTAGAGGGGAACCCCCAATACATTGTGTGTAATAGCAGTGTTTCTGCAGTAAGTACAAGTTTCCTAAAGACATCTTAGTATGGCAATTCTCATTGAATTGTATCAGTGTGTTAGCTTAAAAATCAAAATTGCAGTCTTATTACTTTATAGTCATATTACTCGTATTTTAGAGTAAATTATAAAATTATTGTACCAAACAAGACTTATTATGGAAGACTAAATCAAGCATGTCAAAATTATTCTCAAAGTGCAGATGAAAACTACAGCTTCTCAGAAGGAATCTAGGACCTCCAAGGATATTTTGAGGAGTTTCAAAAAACTAAAAGGGTGAACACTGGATAATTCTAAACAACTATTCATTGGTAGTGAACAAGCCCAGTTGTTCTGTGCAGTTTTTAAGAATCATTAAGGATGAAACATCAATGCAAAGAGCCTAATGCACTTTTATGTCACAAATGCTAAAGAGGGATTTTGACACAGCAACACCTTTTGTCTACTGAGGTTGAAGAAGTAGACTTTTGGAACCCTTGGTCCTAAAAAAGTAACATTCAGTGTAAATGAAGTCCTGAAAGTTAACCTAACATTCTCCAGGAAGCATATGATCTCAATTTGTATAGGTCTTTCAGGTTCCTACAAGAGAAATCATTCCTTCAAGTATCCTAGAAATCAAGACTGCTCTCAAGAACAAGTGTGCTCTCATATAACAATGGGATAAAGCATAGGATTAGAACCTGGCTGAATCACCAGAAATTGAATATTTCAAATAAAGGTGTTTTTATCAAATACTTTTCATTAAAACTGGAAATATTTCTTGAATAAGGTGATTGCTGTAACAGCAAGGATAATGCCAGCAAGAACTGCATTTTTATGGAGTATGTTAAACACTCATATAATAGCAGAAGTTTATGAAGGAAATCTTTAGGATACAGAGTTACATGAGTAAAATAAAAAGAAAAATCCTTGGAGACAATAAATATATCATCATCTGTTGTACATGTTGTTTTCTGGGATGATCGTTAGTCATACAAATGATACTTTTCTGCAGAATGTTCACTGACTAATTTTCCTGGACTCCTGAGAAGGAGCACTAAAAACCACAATTGCGATATTTACCCTTGTTTTGCAATTCCATAAAGTTTTAAGAGCTGTGTAGTCATAATTACTGTTCTCAAACAACTCAACTAGCTGCTAGATATACAATTGTCTTTTATTTCTTACTCTTAACTTAAGGAACTGTATTCCTAAGAATAACATTTTTATGCAGAACACATTTTTTAAAAATACTTAAATTCATGAACCAAATGAATCCACTACAGAGTCTAATTGAAAATGAAAACATTAGTGTGATGTATAAAGTTTTCAGGAATGTTCCAGCCCTAAGTCAACACATCTAGGAACATCTCCAGAATATTGTGTTTCATATTTCTGTGGCCCTATCACTACAGCTTTATTTATAGATGAAACTCAGTCTGTCATATTGGACATTTCTCAGAGTATGATATTGATGCTATGTGACAATCTTGGTAGTGGTTAATTGAGTTGTCAAGGTTGAAGATTTAGAAAAAAAAGAGTTGGTTCTTTAAATCAGGAATAAACTTTTAGAATTAAACAATAAGTTGGCTTAAAAAAACAGCAACTGTTTATTCTTTTGACTGATGAGAATATGGAGGAACAGGTTCCTTTATATTATATTTTGCTACTAGGAGTAACAATCAGTAACAAACTGTATGCAAAACAGTTGAGTGATTCATATATCAAAATCCTCACATAGTTACACACTCAGTTATTTTAATTCTAAAAGAATTTCATATCAGGATGTATCACAGTATTGTTAAAAATATCCAGACTTTGAAATTCTCTAATTAATAGTGGATTGGATAACTAAATTATGTACATGAAAAAAATGGAATACTATAACCTATGTAATGATATATTGTAAAATGAATATTTGTTATCTGGAAATTTCTATATTTTATATGTTTAAAAGGGCAGATTACAAAACTAAATTAAATTAATATGTAAAATACTGAATTTATTGATAAAGGAAATAATGTTATATATCAGTATACATATAGTGTTCCAAAAAATGTGTACACACTTTAACAGCTAGTAACACACTTAATTTTCATTCCTTTGCAGGTTTAAATGATTGGAAATAATGGGTAAAGCCAGGCTAATCTTTGGACAAAGAAAACTTATCCTAAAGTTCCACTAGACTTTTTTTTTTTAATGGAGATACATAGAAGATAAAGTTTTTGGTACAAAACCAACAACAGTCGATGAATTGAAGGTCCACAAATATCAAACAAAATGATTCTTGATGTTTGCGATTCCATTGCTTCACATTATCAGCAGTGCCTGGACCAGAATGGTCATCGGTTTGAAAACAGGCATTGACAAAAAAAGTATTAATTTCTGTAGATTCTCTTAAATTTTGAAATTGAACTGTATGTCAATAAACATTGACTCTATAATCATTCAAATTGTGTATACATTTTTTGGGACACCCTGTATATAAAATATGATACCATTTTTATAAGTAATGCATATTTGGTAATCTAAAAAATATTTTAAATATTTTAAAAGATGAAATTAAAAATTAGTAATGATTATTATATCTTTATTTTTAAAATATTCTGCCATGAAAGAAAATTTTCCCCAAGAAATACAATTTTAAAGAAATCTGCCAATAAATGTATGGTGAAATAATCAAATGCATTTTGATAAAAAAGACACAAATTAAAAACATTAAGTACAACTGGTCACAACTAATAAGTAAATACTAGAAATTATAAAGTCTAGCATTATCAACAGTCTAGTTAAATATCCTTTGAAAATAGCACAGACTCTGATACAAAAAATTCAATTTTAGGAATATTTTTCAAGTAAATTACTATACTCATAGAATTATAAATTCAGATGAATTATTTACACATCTGTATAATATATTTAAAAAGTATATATAATAATAACTTGTCAACTAATTAGGGGTTGGCTAAAACATACAACTAGAAAATAGAATACATCAAACTATTAAACATGAAAAATATAAATATTATTTATTTACAGTAGCTATGTTCAAGAAGTATATTGCTAACAATAGAATTATATTGTTAAAAAGAAAAATAGGCTAGTGTTATTATAAATAATCCCCCCCCCACACACACACACACACACTAGTGGCCTGGTGCACAAAATTCATGCACATTAAAAGGGAATTAATTAGAGGAAATATTTTAATATTGCTATTTGCTCTTTCTCTATAATAGAAGTGTCAGAGATGAAAGAAAATTAGTAAAATGTATATGAAAATCTCCCTCTTGTCAGAGTCTAGGGGGGTGCCATGGGACCCAGAGTAAAGTCCCCGCCCACCCATGTGCACCTCAAAATTGCACGAGACCCAAACCTGGGTGGCCCCACCCCCATCAAGCCCCATAGGTTAGGGGGCACAGCCTCAGATTCCCCAGTCTGGCCTCAGGTCCTCTGGCCCCGGCACTGGGGCGGGCAGCACAGCCTCAGGTCCCCGGGCTCTGGCACGGGGGCGTGATGATCATTTGCATATTAGCTCTTTATTATATATATATGCAGGATAAATCTGGAAGAATTGACTTACAAAACCACAAATGTTATTTGTGGGTGGCACAATTATGGATGACTTTTCTTCTTTTTATTGCTTTGTTTTGAAATTTTTATAATATTAACATGTGTTTCCTATATAAATATTACTTTAAAATGCTTTAAAACTATAGATATTGGTGAGGGCACTAAAAATTTATACAGTCCACTTAAAAATGCCTCAAATATAAAAAATAAAAACACCAACTTCAAGCATATGATAATCTTGCTGCCCTTTTCAGGGAAACATTAAATCAATGGAGGGGATTTCAGAATTAAAATCATTAGCATCCTCATTAATAGTGATAATCTAGTTTCCCATACAAGTAACAATATTATAATTTTAAAGGATAAGTTTCCTTTTGGGGCAGATATAAATGACTAAGCATTGACATGATTTCTATCTTTGTGAGTCAACATAATACAAGGTGGAAAACAAAGATAAAAGAGGGGAGGAAAGAGTTACTCACTCTTGTTGTATAAGCAGCTTCTGGGTCATCTTCTAGAACACGTGAAAGTCCAAAATCAGAGACCTTACACACCAAATTGCTGTTGATCAAGATGTTCCGAGCAGCAAGGTCTCGGTGAACATAGCCCATGTCTGAGAGGTACTTCATGCCAGATGCTATTCCCCGAAGCATCCCCACTAGCTGGATGACTGTGAACTGGGCATCATGTTTCTGAGAAGTATTTCAAATGTACAATTAAGATGTGTTGTTGTGTTGTATCTCTTAAAGGTATATTTTGGTTAAAATCTCACATATGGAATTGTAATAATACTGACTATACATTTTAGTTCTAATCACTCCGGCCTAACAAGATATGTAAATAAATGGATACAAGGCTAAAACAAAATAGCATAAGTGCTATTACTAAATACTTTACAACAAGTATTACTAAATACTTTGTAACAAGAAGTACCTTAATATTCTTTGACTTTAAGTTCAAACCTGAACTACCATGTTTATGGGATATACTAACAACTTAGAAATGTTCAGTTCAGGAACAAGAATGTGGCCATTTTAGTTTTATTTATTAACTAGAGGGCAGGTCTGCCTGGCCTGCCCTGATCAGGGCCGATTGGGACGGGTTGGACAGATGGCCCTACCCACTGGTTGAAGTCCTAATAGAACTCCCAGTCGAGGGGACAATTTGTATATTAGCCGTTTATTATATAGGATTTGTATTACGGTTCATTCTTCTTTCTAGTTTTCTGGATATTTCGTGAATTGTTTCAAATAAGGTGGATGTTATATTTTTGATTACTGTATATAATTACTTCAAAATTAGTAAAAAATATTTACTAAATCTGTGTTTTTCTACCAAACCTTGAATTGTAGGCTATAAAATAGAAAGTAATCGGACATAATGTTGGAGTTCTGGATTTAGAAAAGCTTCCAATCTTTTGGATTAAAGTAGAAATATATAGTTTAGATCCATGGTCGCCAACCGGTGGTTCGCGGACCACTGGTGGTCTGTGAGGTCTGATAGGTTGGTGACTGCTGGTTTAGACCATAGATAAAGAAATGAATAGATAGATACACACATATGAATGCAGTACACAAATATATACATATATAAGTATAAAATTCTATGTCTAGTTATATCTACATGAACAATAATGTTTTAAAAGAATATTTTTATGATTTTCATTACCTAATTTGAACAATTGCTTGTTTTTGAAATGTGTTTGTGAAAATAATTTCTAATAAATTTATATCTGGCTCATGAATATTAATAATGCAATTTCTCATTCATATAAAATTTAGTTTTTCTCCACAGTAATGAAATGTATTGTTTGTCTATCTATCTATCTATCTATCTATCTATCTATCATCTATCTATCTATCTATCATCTATCTACCATCTCTCTATATATCCTGCTGAAAGTACCTTTTAGGATGGGTCTATTTTTTATTTTATCCCTTGCAGTGACTGGTGATTGACAGTGTAAAATGTTTGTATGTTTTGAACATTATATTTGTTCCAAAATGATATATCTGAATTGACAATACTTTGAAATTATAGAACATGCCTATTTTCTGAGTGGACAAAACTATGTGAGAGATAGATGGTCTGTTATCTTATAGCAGATTGAGGTTACTTTAGATAAAAAAGGTTATATGTCTTAAATCAATATTATTTATGTCTGACTTTAGGATTATTTTTAATTTTTATTTTAATCAATGTGAGTTTTGGCAGTACCAAAAAGCTGAAGAAGGCTGAACAAATTTGTTTAAAAAATATAAACCATTGACATTCGGATGTTTCAAGATAAAGATTCAAATTTATAGCCTTCCCTTTGCTATTCAGTCTCTGCAAATTTCAGTTTTATTTGAACTTTGATTATCTAATTGGCACTGTATCAGAGGTTGTCTCCAACATTTTCAATAATTCATTCCATATTTATGTATGCATGTACATAGATAGAAAGAGAGAGATACACATATGTATATAAAAATCTTCTACTTACACGTAAGAAACTGTCCAAGGAACCATTCTCCATGTATTCCGTGACAATCATAACTGGTTTACCTAGATATATTGTAAATTAAATATATAATCATTATTAGAGTTCAACAAATATGCAATGAACATGTATAATACACTTTGATACACCTGATAAATTAAAAAAGTAAAAATTTCTCCTCCTTCCCAATTTTGCAACATTGCAATTAAAAAATTAAATTTCAATAGAAAATAATTTTTTTAAAAAAATTAAGGTTTGTTTTCCGACTAAGAGCTCATAACCTATAATACCTATATTGGCTTATTTGGCATGGATTTTCATGAACACCAAATATGACCTTTTCTTCACTTTAATTGCATCTTAGCTGATCTACAAAATCAAGTGTTTCTGCCTCCAAGCTCAAGATATAGCCAATAATTCCACAATCATTTATTCTTTCTACAAGTAATTATAGAACTGTGTGCTAGATATTCTCTTGTGCTAGTCAGAAATAAATCAAAGACCCTGCCTTCATGGATTCAACATGTGAACTGCACAAAACAATTAAGACTAATAATTATAATATTTTCATCTGTATACATTTAACACATTAAAAATTATAAAATCCATGCTATGTTTAAAAGGAAAATAAAATTAAAATTTCTGTTGGCAGTAACTTATAACAACCATTTTGGAATATGTGGCCTTAAATGCTATTAAATATTTTAACAAGCATATAGATTCATTTAGATAGCCCTTTATAAAATGTACAAGATTGTGGTCTGATTATTTTATATGCACTAACTTATTATTTATCATTCCCATTTACACATACAAAAACTAAGATATAAAGAGGATAATTAAATTACTCTATTCCACACAGGGAATAAGTTACAAAGCCAAAAATTGCAACCTGAATATACTAGGTTGTTACTTTTGGAAATTCATCCTGAGAAAAACATTTAAGGTATATAAAAAGGCATTAAACACAAAGGCGTTAAATATACTAATATATATAGATCTACAAATGAACATATGTTCAACTATTGGTAATGATTTAGACAATTGTGGGTTACAATTATATGATTATTCTGAATTTAAGTGATTGAAGACTGTAGCATTTTAAACAACTGTTACATAATAATGTTATGTGAACAAAGCTGAAAACATATAGTAACTCTACATGCATCATGACAACTATGAAAATAAGTAATATAAAACAAACATTTCAAATACAAAAAAACATATAAAATGGATATAGGAAACACTAGTAATTTTTCCATATTTAGAATCATGTAGAATTACACTAGTACTTGACATAATTACTTCACTTCATCTTCACATCATCCTTATGCGTTAGGAATATGCATTATTCCCATTGTGTTTCCTTAGCCGGAAGCATTGTGGATTTAGGAAACTAGCTGAGGTCACACAGCTAGTACTGCAGCAGATCCCCAACACGGTTGTCTCTGATTCAAAGCTCACATATATTACCACACTGTAGTTCTCTTCATTTATTGTTGCTATGACATTGTTTTAGTTATATGTTTAGTTATAGTTTCTTCCATCATGTTTCAAAGGAAGAAAAATCACCCCTCTTCCAGGTCTAGAAGATTTGAGTTAAGACTGAGTACTGATGGAAGACTTTGAGCAAATAATAGATTTTTCACAAACTTCAATGCATAGTTAAGTGAAGAGCACATATAGTTTTTCCTCTCAAGATCCTTCAGCGGTTCTCAACCTGTGGCGGTCGAACGACCCTTTCACAGGTGTCGCTGAAGACCATCCTGCATATCAGATATTTACATTATGATTCATAACAGTAGCAACATTACAGTTATGAAGTAGCAACGAAAAATAATTTTATGGTTGGGTCACAACATGAGGAACTGCATTTAAAGGGCCAGAAGGTTGAGAACCACTGCAAGCTTACTTTGCCATTCTCACAATGGAAAATAGCTTTCTTTGATTTTTTTTTCCTTTCATAGGTGAAAACTCTTAATTCATGCTGTTTGTGAATTATGGATTAGTACTGTGAAGATTATAATTCCTACATTTGCTACTTGAATGTTTCCCAAACTGTATATTTTGTTTATTGAGGTAATAAAATTATTTAAATTTTATGAAATTGCTCAAATAATTTTATATATGTAACAACCAATTGATACATCAATCTATTTTCTATTTAACAGAGTAACTTAGTTATATATCTTGAGTAACATTATATATGTAGTCTGGTGATGTCTGAAAAGTCAATTTAGCCAAAACTTTAAGTCTCTAGAACTTGCTTCTTCAAAATTATAATTGAGCTTTGATTTTAAAATATTAAAGAAAAAAGGGAAGATTCAACATTTCCTTGTAAACTTCTCTCTCTCCTGAACTGGTCAATGAAATACCTAAAGACTGATCCCAGAGACCTGACCTGAATGAATGAATTTCTGCATATGTATATTCTTCATAAATCAGTATACACTTTTGTGTTCCTTTCTTAACAGAATTCTAGGAAGAATACTATCTAGCAAAATTCAATGCATACCTAGAATGTAGTCATAGATATGTTGCCTCATACAGGCAACTCTCAGTTACAGGGGCCAGTTATTGTGTTTGCATACAGTACTACCCAGACCTTTGCTTCCCTCTTCCTTCTGGATCCCAGCCTTATGACCATTTCATTTTTTGTTGACATGTCTAGTAGAATGTTTGGCAAGGGAAATGAAAATGAAAGTAGCTGAAAATTCAAACCAGTCAATTAAGCCAAAGCCTCATGACCATTCAGAAATAGGATCAGGCTGAATTTAGCTATACAATTTAGGTATTTATAAACACACCAGTTAACATGGTCAAGTCTAAAAATGTGCTTTACATTAAGTTCAAAGATTCAGCAAGCCGAAATGTACAAAGAGTAAACAAATACAAATATTCTATATTGGAAAGCGGTATCTTTACCTAGTTTCCCTTGTGATTTTGATTATGATGAATGGGGTTAAAGAAAAAGAGATGCAATAATGATGAGAACTAGTTCTAACAATATGAAATGTGGTTGGAAATCATAAATTACCAGCTCATCTGCGCACAATGCAATGTGTTTCTATTCAAGTTTGGATACTCTTTCATGTGCATTTTGATTTAGAAGTGACATCATCATCAAGAACCTTTATCATTTACTGCCTTCGGAGATATTAAAACAAGTCTAAGTATGCATACTGAACTGAACTCAATTAAATTATTGCTGATGAAATAAAATTTTATCAAAAATGAGCAAAACAAAATTTGCAGGGGAATTTTGCTTTTTTTCTTAAACTTATTTATGAGTACACATGAAATCATGATTTTTTTTTCATAATTAAAAGCTTAAGGGAAGCATAGCAGCATGTTATAATCAGTTCATTTTCCCAACTATCCCTAGTGGCTCAGAGATATTACTAATCATTGAGCCACTCTTTGAAGACAGAAGAAACGTGTTTCAAAATGTCAGAGAATTCCAGGTTCAGCTCTACTTATTTCACCTCAACCTTCCTAATCACCTTTTCTATAAAAAGAAGAATCAGATTAATGTGAGATATAGCAATACATAGAAAAGTTTATTGCAATCATCAAATAAACGTTACTTAAATCTATTTTATGCAAACGTAAAAATTACTGATGACTGCAATATCACAAATTTTGAAATTTAATTCATTTCAGAAAGAAATGCTATTAACTCCTATTAACAGTAAGTGTGTCTTCTATATCCAATTCTTTTTTTCAAAAGTCTTAAACACAATCTAGTATGAGATTAATATATTTTGCCTTATTATCCCACACTCAATATTACTATCATGTAATCAGAATCAGGGTGGAAGCAAAAAGCAGAAGCAAGAGAAAGAAAACTGAAAAAAAATTGACAAAATATGCCTCACTATTTCCAGGAAGGAAGTCTTAAATCACCTTTGACTAGAAACAAAAGGTTTTGTTATAGATTTTCACATACTATACCTAACTGATTCATGGAATGCACTGAATTAGAGTATTTTTTCCTGTGAGTTTCCTATTAAATCATGTAAAATACAGATAATCTTTTCAAAATTCCATTTTAATCAAGACATTATTCATGTTAAGAATAACCTCTGTTATATCCACTGGTTTATGAGTTAATGAGCACAGGGGCCATCTCCATTTTGACTTCAGTTAAATATTTATTACCTGGCAGAGTGCTATTTACAATTGATTATATCATGTTTGTCATTGAAGGCTGGTTAAAGATAACCTCTGCCTTCAAAATTAAGCTAAAAAACAGTTTCTCCAAATTTTCTTTAACCAACCGTCTCTATCAATGTTAACACCAAATGTTTTACACTCAGCTGACCTTAAAAGTTTTAAATGTATTGATGCTAATTTAAAACAAAATTTAATATCTTTAAAGACAGTAACAACATTCCTGCTCTCTGTTACTCCATTCATAGCTGATTTGCTTGGTAAGTACAATGACAATTAGTGAATGTAGTAATATGAATGTGCTCAGTTTGATATTGCAAGAACAGCTTACAATTTTTTTCTTTTCAAGTTTCTACCTTTTATTTTTCTTCTCTAATAGTAAAATTAATAACTTAGGTATAATAATGAATTGAAGTAATGATAGCAGGCTTCTTAATTCTATTTTTAAAGAAATGCTTTTAATATTTCAAGATTGAATATGAGGTCTATAGGTGTGTTTGTGTGTTTATATACATTTATCAGACATACATATTTTCTATGTATGATGTGCTAAGAAAATATTTTAAGTTAAAATGATTGTTTTTCTGCATTTATTGAGATTGCCTTTTTATTTTCTATCTATTAATGTTGTGACTTTCTTGGATGTTAAATATTGAACCAACTTTGCATGCTTGGAATAAACTAACAGGTATGATAAAGTATCATTTTTAATACATTGCTATGTATGCCTTTAAAATTATTGCAGTGTTATTGAAAATGTATTCATATGTTACACTGACCTGTGATTTTGCTTTTTGAAAATATTCTTGTGTGGGTTGGTGTCAAGATATCACTTGCCTCATGAGTTAGGAGTGTTTCTTTTTCTCCCCTTCTGAATGAGTTTGTATAAGATCAGAACTATTCAGACAGCTATTACACAAGTATGTAATTATATTTCTTCTTCCTTTAGGATAGATATTGTATTTTTAAACTTTTTAAAAGACAGTATCTGGGCCCATGACATATTTTATAAGTTGAATTTGTTTTTCCAAAACTATCAAAAACCCATCCTATCTAAAATTATTGAGGAAGTACACAACATTCTTTAATGTTGAAGAAATAAGAAATTTCTTTAGGCACATAAAAATAGCACTTCCTGGCTCACCTTTTTTCATATATCAAGTAGAGATTTTCTTAGTTTTGCTATGTGGGTGCTTAGAATGAGATGGCTTCAACTGATTTATCAGATTAAGGTCCTGAATGCACGATAATCAATGTTCAAAGTTTCAAAAATTGATTATCCTAACAAACTATTTCTGCACATTATTAATAAAGTAAGTATAACTATATATTGTCTATTAGGGTTATGACATGGGGTGTAGTACCCTTGAAACAAGTGCAGAAAAAAGCTTTTTAAGAAGTTAACAGAAAATAGCACGAATTTGGCATTGTCTCTAAAAATGACATCTTATTCTAGTAATGTTTCCTTTTCGTATGTGGAGCAGATAGAAAGGTGGAAACAAATAACTAAGTATTTTTTTTATTTTTATTTTTGTAAAATGGATTCTCACACCAATACAGAAATGTTTAAATTATTTTTAAAAATCATCTTAATATTATGGTTTTGGCATTCTTTAGAAATGCAAGTTTATAGTTAAGTGCATTATTATTACTTTTTAAAATTTTCAGTAAATAATCCCTCCCCAAATAACAACGACAACAAAAAAACCCACATCAATCTTATCTATATAATTCCTTCTATTTCACTAAGTGAAAAGTGGCCAATGGAGGTCTTCTTGGAGTCTGAACATCATTTGACTAATGGTGTGATGGCAGAAATCTCAAACATTTGCTTAAAGAAAGTTCCATCTTTTTGAACTTCAACTAAAATTGATAACACATGTTAGTGCCAAGCTCTGAGCAGAGACTGTGCCCCCACCTCTCTGCTACTTTGAGATCAGAGACTCTCTCACCTTCTCTTGTTTAAGACTATCAGGCTCAAAATGTACCATTAAAATTGTTTATGGCTCAATTTAAATAAATGAAAATATAATGATCGGATAAAGGGCTTTCTCCAAATGAGCTGAAAATTATACATTATAATAGACCTGGTGCTTCAAAGCACAATTAATAGCAATAATAAAAAGGTATTTTTGAGTAAAAATAAAAGGAATTGTTTTCAAGCATTTACTTCTCTACTCCCAAGATTAACTGGTAAAACCGCAAGCTCGCCAGAAGTGGTAATTTAGATTTTTATAGCTCTATTCCACTTAACAATGCATTTCTACATAATCTTATTTGATCTTTAAAGTATCTGGAAATAGTAAAATAGAAATGCTACTTCCATGTTACAATTGAAGAGAGTGAGTCTCTGTGAGTGGTCTGATATGCCAGATGTCTAATAACCAGAACGGTTGCATATGACCTTGAACTTTGACCTTCTGATTTTTAATCTAGATACCAATTATATCTCTTCTTTAAATGCTGTTTTGTTCATTAAATTTTAAGCTCTGCATCACTCTAGCTCTTGTGTGTGTGTGTGTGTGTGTGTGTGTGTGTGAGTTTGTGTGTGTGTGTGTTTGTGAGTTTGTGTGTGTTTGGACTTTGAAGGTAGATTGTTTTAGCCTTTATATAGTCTCAGGAAACAAAGAAAATAATAAAAGTAGATTGAATAACTTCTGGTGACAAAATTGTCTTACTCATATGTTGAAAGCAATGCATTACCTTTCTTTCTAAGGCATTTCTATTTTCTCTCAGTTACAGGTGCCAGACTTAGAGCTTTTACATATGCCAGTAAAGGAGCTCAATATCTAATTCTCAGTCTGCTACTCTGTTATGCCTGCACTATATGAGATGACTGGGATTTATATCGTCAGATTTGGCAGCTTCTTACATGCCTATTTTACCAGGGAGATATATCAAATTTAGAACTTTTACCCTAAGAATAAGGTAGTTACAATCCATATTAGAATGTCACAGAATCAGGCTTGAATAAGACATTAAATGCATACTACTGACAATATTTAAAGGTCATTTTTTTTCTTAATGTGTTTTCCCCCTGAATTTTGGTCTTAGGGATTGTTTTATGGATTTCTTTGCCAGGTGACCATAATTCTATTTGATTATTTCATTTTTATATCTAAAGAAAACCTGCCACAATTATTATAGCTTAATGTTACCTACCATTCAGTAAGCGAATTTATAGAAAACAGCTAGCAAAATATAACAACTTGTTTTCAAAAATTCTTAACACTGGAAGCAAAAAAATCTACTCATACTTGTTAATATAAGAGAGCTTATCAATAAGTTTAAATTTAAACCTAATTTTTACTTTCGTAGTTACTTGCATATTGTGTTTACATCGTTGTAGTTGTTGGAGAAATTAGGCGCCCATGTTAAAATGGAATCACTTTCTCCATTGCTCCCTGCGTGCTACAAGCAGTTTCACAATTCTACTCTGAAACGTGAATTCAGTTAAATGAACCAACACTGAAGACCTATTGGTAGAAAACTAGGGTGTTTTTAAGAAATTCACTCCTTCAATCAATCCAGCAAGCAATCTTTTATTTTCTAACATTAGTCAATTAAGTACCTATTATTATTCAGGTTCTGTTTAAGTCGCTGATTATCAAATAACATGGTTCTTGCCTCCAATGAGAGTTTACATTTGTTTTAGGCATTAATGGCTATTAATTGGCCACTGAAAGTTTTTGAAGCTTGACGGATGCCTTGCTATGTTCAAGTTTTTAGGGAAGATAAATAATTCAAATAAAATAAGTCAAATACAATGATAAAAAGTAGAAACATATTTTGGCTAGAATTGGTGATAGAGGTGAAACCAACAGACCAAGTTACCAATGCCACATCTAGAACTTTCCAGTTAGACAATCTACTTGTTCTTTAGTTACCATTTGTTCAAATGTGAAATTTTAATATACTTAATTCACGGGATAGTAGCAAGAAAAAAAATAATCTTCATACTACAATGTTGGGCATATAATAGCCGACTCAGAAAGAAAAACCTGTAAAAATTGAGAGTTAAAAGAAGAATGGTTACATAAGTTTAAATGCATTTCCTCTTCCAGCGGGGTTAAAGATATGAAGGACAACCACTTTGTAAGGATGCTATGAAGAAAAATAAATGACTAACTGATTATTAAAACAATACTGAGATATCATCCTATTCCATGGATATTAAGTAGTTTGGTCTTACCCTGAAGGAACAAAGGGTTCATACATTTTCCTAATCTGTACTACTTCTAAAAGAGTTTTGATTATTAATTTAAAATTTTTTAAAGTTTTTTTGTCAGAAAATATTTCAGTGTTACTAGTAGTATGGCTTAATGTATAGTAGTACAGAGAAAAAATGATTCTTATATGACTTAATGTAGGCTTACACGTTATGGTTAAGTTCTTACATTGCTAAATTCTTAATCCCATTTATTATATAAGAAAACTATAAAGGATATCAAAGTATATTTTGATTATTCCATGCTTTTCTGAGGAAGGAACTGCTGTTTTAGTCACAGTAAAAGAAGAAAAGGTATTAGTGCCATTAAGAAAGTGCTCTGCATAGTGTTAAAGAAAAATATCATTGTGAAAAATATAATATGTAATGTCTATTGGTAACCACAGAATATGTAAATGTGGTATGTGGTTCCAATCAATTATCCTCTAATGGATGCCCAATTCCCTGCCATGTTGTCTTACATTCTAAAGAGTTTGCTACCAATTTAACTTATTCTTCCTTTTATGCTCTAAAATCTTAAAAAAAAAGAAAAAAATCCCAGAGCATTTTCATTGGGATAGGAGCCAAAAATCACATGGTTGTCTCATGGGATTCCTTTAGAGTCTGGCTGGAGAAACCATCAAGGAAATAAGTTCAGATCTCTTTCACAGGCTGTGAGCTAGAGCTTCCCCAGACAAGTCAAGAAGCCAAGTGGGACTGTAGATTAGAATTATTTGAAATCCACAGAGAACAGAGAAAAGGCATTGGGTCTAAAGTGATCCCAACTTTCATAGCTCTGAAGTGTTCCACAAACTCCCGTAATTTCCCTAAAGCCAGGAGTTGGGGTGGGTAAGGACTTGGAAGCTTAAATGAAGGTGGTGAGTAATAAAAGAAAAGGCAGCTAGCTGGGAGTTCCTGACAATTTCTATCAAAATTGAAACATTGTTTTTCCTTGCTACTCTACATAACAGAAATTTCTCCAAAATTCACTTCTTCTCTGTCTTTTAATCAGCCTGTATTAATGTCCAGTTTACCTTCTAAATTTTTAAAGCTTTTTAAGAACACTGTCAATATAATACCAGTTAAATATTTTTTCTCTTGTCAAAGAAAGACATGTTAATCTTAAACTGGTCTTTTTGTTAGGATGTTTAAATACATATGAAAAAAAAGATCAAATTTCTTAAATGACTGAGCTCAGGTTTAAATGACCTCTGCTCAACATACACAAAAGTTGATCTTACAACTTTACTTACTTTTAGTGACAACTCCCTCCAGCCTAATGATATTGGGATGGTCAAATTGTCCCATAATGCTTGCTTCTCCTAGGAAGTCTCTCCTTTGCTTTTCAGTGTAGCCCACTTTCAAGGTCTTGATGGCCACTGAAATCTCTTTTTTTGATGGGAGTTTTAAGCGACCACTGCACACCTCTCCAAATTCACCTGTTAGAATGCAAAAGAATGAAGCCCAACAAAAATCTCTATATATAAAAAGCCAGCAACCAAACACCGGAACAACCAGAACAAGCAGTCGCTATGACACCCACTATGGCCAGCGAACCGGTCCAATGGGGCGGGGGGGCAGCAGCCAACCTCCTGCAGCCCCTTCCCCCAGCCAGCTCCTTCCCCAATCGAAGCCCCCAATCTGATCAGGGGTAGGTCTGGCTGCCAACCACCCATGGGCCCTCCCTCAGGTTGCTGACCCCCAATAGGTCCCTCCAACCCCATTCAGGGGCAGAGCTGGCTGTCCCACTCCCCACAGCCCCTGCCCATGGCCTGCCTCACCCCCAATCAGCCCCCACCACCCCGATCTGCCTGCGGCCCCTGCCCCCAACCAGCTCTACCCCTGATCAGCCCATACCAATTGGGGTTGGGGTTGGCCATCCAAACTCCCACAGCCCCTTCTCAGCCCCATTTGGGGGTGGGGCCAGCCGACCACCACCCACAGCCCCTCCACCAATTGGGGTTGGGGTTGGCCATCCAAACTCCCACGGCCCCTCCCCTGGCCCCATTTGGGGGTGGGGCCGGCCGACCACCACCCACAGCTGGCCCCATCCCCAATCGCTTGGCCCCCTGGCCAATTGCCCGCAGCCCCTACCCCCAGCTGGCCTGGCCCTGATCTGGCCCCAATTGAGGCAGTCCGGCCAGCCAACCTCCTGCCATCTACTCCTCTCAACAGGCCTGGCCCTGATACGCCGATTGGGCTGGGCTGGCCGGGTTCCAACTGTGCATGAATTCATGCACTGGTCCTCTAGTCATATAATAAAAAAATCAGTAGAAAACAATTTTTTCCTTTTAATAATTGTTTTCAAAATATTTACACCTTTGGCCAGTAAGATGTACACTGTAGGCTTCCAAATTATTTTGGAAGCTGGTAATCTGAGCCTCCCTAAGAAGCCCCAGGACATCTACACTCGAGTAGTAAATGGACCTTGTGATTAGCCTCATATATTTTTAAGTAGCACATTGTGAATAATGTAATATGAAAGAATATGGGACAGTTGAAAGCTGTATCTATTAGACTTTTACTCCTTGTTCTCATAGCTACCATTTCCTCAGGGTAATCCACACACCAGCACAAGCATGGGTTGAGCATTGAATGAAATTTCAGATGTTTCTAACTTTTCTGATTTTACTAAGAGGGCCAATTTAACTATATACTTGGTCTCTCTGAAAATGAAACCATCTGCTATCAATTCATTTTATTAGAGTATAAGCATATTGCATTATTGACACACTGTTATAAAGTTCTCTGGGCATCTGGAAGGAGAACAGTAATATAACAGCATGAAATAAAAGATACCACATTTTATTTTGCCCTGTTCAGTGTGACTCAGTTGACTAGGTGTTGTCCAGTACATCAAAAAGTCACCAGTTTAAATCCTGGTCAGGGCACATGTTCAGGTTGCAGGTTCGATCCCCAGTAAGGGGTGTGCAGGAGGCAGCCAATATTTTCTTCTTCTTCTTCTTCTTCTTCTTCTTCTTCTTCTTCTTCTTCTTCTTCTTCTTCTTCTTCTTCTTCTTCTCTCTCTCTCTCTCTCTCTCTCTCTCTCTCTCTCTCTCCCTTCCTTCCTCTCTAAAATCAATGTTTAAAAATGGAAAAAAACAACAAGAAATGATACCACATTTTATCTATGGAATCACTGTAGAGATATTTTTTAGACTCAATAAAAACTTTCTTAAATGAATAATTAATCCACAATTTGTTGAATATAAAGTGTTGCTGATTTTAAATAGTCTAATGTAATTGATTAAAGTGTTGCTGATTTTAAATAGTCTAATGTAATTGGTAAAAAAAAAATGCCTAGAACTAGTTTGAGCACTATCTTCTTATCCATTGTTTTTGAGATTTGCTCTTTTAGTAGATTTTTAGCTTCTGGAGAGCAGAGACCCTTTACATTCTTTCCTTTGTCCCCACTGCTGCCAGAGTAGTAGCCACAAAGCAGTGCCATACATATAATGTTTCATATTCACAGAAGAAATCTTAATATTGTGTAAATTATTAGACATTTAAAATCTTTTTAAAATGTCAAATAAGAGGGATTTCTTTTTGACAAAGATTAAGTACATGCTCAATTTTCAGAATGTGTGTGGAATGTAGTAATATTTTTGGTACAACCTTCTCACTGTGAGTTTTTGTACAAGCGCCATGCCCCACTGGTCAACCAGAAAGAAGGTGTCAAAAAGTGAGATGTTTCTTCTCTATTTGTTGTCCAAGTAAGTAGTTTTCCCCCAAGTAACAGCAAGTTGCCCTATCAACTTCGTAACTCCATCACTAAAAATGACTTGCTTCTGTCCAGGAAGCTCTAAACTGACCAGACTTGACGCTTTCTTAGGAATCCAGTCTTGCCCCTATTTTTAAAATCATGGCATGCTGCAATTTGTCAAAGTTACTTAAGGTCCAAGAAGCAGTTAGTCAGACATTATTTAATAAATACTCATCAATTGGCACCATTATGACAGACACCATGAACAACACAGATATAATGGTAAAGAAGGCAGATCTAATTTCTCCCCTTGAGGAAGTGCAGAGAAGATAGCAATAACTATAGCTAGAGTGTTCCATAGGATTATAGGGAGAATTAGGGGCAGAACTTGAGACCATTCATTGATACTTTTAAATCCAAGGGAATATGTGTTATAGACATATGAGTATTAGGAGGAGAAATTACGATGCAAATTAATTAAGAATTTAGAATTTGTAAGCAAGAGTAAGAATTTATTTCCTTGTACAGAAACGTAAGAACATTGTCGGAGCTCCAGTTACCTTTGTGTAAGTAGTCATTTTGAGCAAACCTTATAGGAAGCATTTATAATGAATTTTCATTTTCTGAAAGTTCAGCCATTATCATGAATCAACATGATGTAATACATTGTGTTTTAAATTTGGATGCCATCACTACTTATTCTAAGTGACAAGTCCCTTGTCAGATTATAAGCCAGACAGCACAGAGCTGTGGAACAGAGCATGGCTTCTGGAACTAAATTGTCTGCTGTGTAATTCTGCCATTGTCACTTATGAGCTATATGATTTTAAGTGAGTGTCTTAACCTCTCTGTGCCTTTTTCTCATTATCCTATATAATAAAAGGGTAATATGCAAATTGACCCTAACAGCAGAACAACTGGGAATGACTGGTCACTATGACACACACTGACCACCAGGGGGCAGACGCTTAATGCAGGAGCTGCCCCCTGGTGGTCATTGTGCTACCACACTGGGAGTTCTGCTCAGCCACAAGTCAGGCTGCCAGCTGCCAGCACAGCGGTGGTGGTGGGAGCCTCTCCCACCTCCTCAGTAGCACTAAGGATGTCTGACTGCAGCTTAGGCCTGCTCCCCGCAGGCAAGTGGACATCCCCCAAGGGCTGCCGGGCTGCCAGAGGGATGTCTGACTGACAGCTTAGGCCCAATCCCCCAGTCAGCGGGCCCAGCAGGTGGACATCCCCCGAGGGATCCCAGACTGTGAGAGGGCACATGCTGGGCTGAGGGACCCCCCCAAGTGCACAAATTGTGCACCGGGCCTCTAGTCTATAATATAAGAACAACAACTATGTCTCTAATAAGGTTTTTGTGCAGTTAAAGGAATTAATGTATGTAAAGAACTTAAGAGAGTAAACAGACACATAGTAAATGCTAAGTGTTAGTCACTATTTATCTGAGTTCAAACCTACCTTAAGAAGAATAAATTATGGATTTTTCTCTCAAGAGTTAGATCAAATTGAAGAATAAATATAAAAGTGCTTTTAACACTTCAAATACTGTTTAAATGTAAGAAGAGATGGTTGTGATGATGAGTGTGATAGCAAGATTAATGTCATATTGGATGAGTATTTGTAAAGGACAGCCTTTTGTAAAAGCACCCCTCACTAGGGAGACCAAAGGGAAGAGTTGGAATTTCAAGTGGACCACTTAGAGTTTCTTTCTATGTTCTCATTGGGATATCTGTACGTATACATCTACCTTCAAAATTCAGAAAATAGTGTTTCAGTAATGCTAATTTATAAAAATTACAAAATTTAGAAATGTGATTATTTCATCAGGTAGACATTAGAAATATTTATTTAATTCTCTTTAAAATAATTTTTAAAAAAACTCTTAAAATTTTAACAAAAACTAGGCAAATGCAATGTCTGACCTTTCTACTTAGCCCAGTTTTACCTGGCCATATTCAATTAACTTTTCACCTATAAGAAAGGAAATTTAGGTTCTGTTATTTCTATGTAAAAGCACAGTTACAGGAGGGCCACTTAAAAAGATACTGCTTGGTTTTTTTAATTCAATAAGTGCAGCACTATTTGTCTTTTGAAAGAAAGTGTGACTTATGAGAATGAAAATACTGTTCTGATTTAAGATGCACAATGCAAAATCGCTCAAAGTAAATTTTCTTACACTAATTTCATTTAAAATAGAGGAAAAATGTACTTTAAGTAGAATGACCCTCTGCACTAGCTTCAAAGCCCATTCTCCTTCTACTGTATTAATAAAAAATCATAATAAAAATACATAAGAAACAAGTTGGTATGTCAGCTAAGTACTATACACAAACTATCAAATTAATCCTCACAAAAATCTAGAAAAGGTGTATTGTGATCATCAATGTGTAGCATGGACTTTGAAGTTGAAAAGTACATATTTTCAATTTTGGTTTCCTAATTAATAGCTATGTGACCATGGACCATTCAAATGTTCACCTTTTGTTTCCTCATCTGGTGAAATTAAGATACCAATACTTATCTACAAGGCTAATAAAATGAAAGCTTAGCATAGACTATGAGTTAAATAAATATATTCTACCTTTAGGAAATTTCAGTATTTAATCTTTGAAATGATAGTTTGGGGAATAAAATTAGGAATTTCTGTTGTACCCATTTCTTTTTATAAAAATCTCTGACTGAAAATTAGAGAATTAGCCCCCAGCTATAGAGTCTTTCTGTATTTGTCATTGACTATGAACTTTCTGTCATTTACCAAGATATTCAACCCCTTTAACAAGAGAAGATAGTTGCTAATCAATTTAGCACAAATATTCTTCTTTTATGTACAACCTTATTTGTAAAAGTTAAAAAGGATGTAGAAACTGGGTAAGTGTATAGATGAAAAAAAGCTGGCCATAAGTAGATTGTTATTGTAGTTGCTGTGGAAATGGGTACATGATAGTTCATTATACTCTTGCACATTTTCATCTATTCTTGTAGATATTTAAAATTTTACAACAAAATATTTCAAAATCTTGATTTCAGAATTTATAATTGGTAATGCCGAGCCTTTTACACTGAGGTCTTCCAGGACAAGCATAACTGACCTTGAAGATATACCTATTTGCAAACAAAATAAGCATTTCTTTATTGCCATTAATGTGACAGATGACAATATTGACTGAATAATCCTGAAAATGGGGTGTATGTCTAATTTCTTTACAAATATGTTTGAAGAGAAAAAAAAAAAGAGGATCTGTCCTAATCTTTAATCAGGGACTATTGAGTTAGTATAAGTAGGCTTTTCCTTTATCTCATTTATCAGATACCATTTTTAATGAGTGTGCTTTGTCTCACACCACTGTGAAATAGATCTCTGGCTTTTGAATAGCATCTGCATATGCAAGCTTTACCTTATGAGGAGGGTCTCAGATTTCAATGCCCTAATGTGTCTGTCTGGCTTTCCGGACCTTGGCCGAGAAGAGTGGGTTTTTCCTCCTGCCAGTTGAGCACTCAAAGCACTTGTGTTGCATATGCTACTGCAGCTTCCATGATGGAGAAGACTGCACTCTCCTGGGGCAACATTCAACAATGATCAGAAGCCTCTGCACCATAGAGCAGTACAGGAAGCAGAACTGCACAAATGAAAGAGTGATCAATATAGAACTCTTGTAACTGGATTAGATGTATGGTGAATACGTTCATTCTTACATCTTCGTCTATGAAAAGAAGAAGTCACTCTAGTTTGCTTTTATGAATCACTAGCTGAATATTTTAATATGTACTATTGATTTCATAGAGAGGAAGGGAGAGGGAGCGATAGAGACATCTATGAGAGAACATCAATCAGCTTCCTCCTGCACGTCCTCCACCCAGGATCAGGCCCACAACGTGGGCATGTGCCCTGAGGAGGGATCAGACCTTCAAACTCCTGGTGCATGGGGAGATGCTTAACCAACTGGGCAACGCTGGCCAGGCATTAGATGAATATTTTAATATTGCCTACACATGTGACGTTTAAGATGATGCAACATTGAGCAAATTAGAAGATAATTTTTTACAATTTTATAATACATCATCTGTATATTGCACCACCTCAAATCTCCTTCTAGAAGAGAAAATTTAGTAAATTATCATTTTCTTTAGATAATGTGAATTACTCTGATTGTCCTGGATAATAGGAAATACTGCTTGAGTTGTAAATACTGCTTTGGTGTATAGAAAAAAACAAAACAGCATAGGACATTAGATGCCCATTTGTATAAAGAATCATCAGTCATAAATATACTACTACAGAAAATGTGTTCTTATGTATTATGGATAATTGAATAAGCTAATTTTTCAATCTTTTTATTTCCCACATCAAAATAACTAGTTTGTGAGGTTTTTTTTAGAGCAATATTGGAGAATGAGATGAGGGTGTAAACTATTAATGCACATTATTGTTTATTTTTATTTTGGAGTAGTAGTTTTGTTCAAATTCACACTGCATGTACTACAGATGTTCATATGCTATGTCTCAGTGTGTAAAATAGTTATTTAATAACTTTCTATAATTTTGTTAAAAATATGCAACAGCTGTTAATAATCACTCAAAGGGTATATATGAATTTATGGTATAGCAAAATTACTGATTAGAAAAAGAGATTTCTATATGAAAACAAGCCTTGACACAAATAAATTAATAGTTTATGAACTCACAGGCAACCATTAAAATGGAACACTTCACATTTAACTACTCAAACTAATTGTCGTGAAATTTGTGTTTTAGAATGTTTCACTTATGATATTATTTTGTGTTGTCTATTTTTTAAATTCTGAAGAGGATTCTAAAATTACCTTTTTTCTACAAATCCCAAATTCCACTTAGTAGGCTTAAAGTAAAACACACTTTATCCTGTTATCCCTATTTAGCTTAATGGTCTTTGTGACACATGATCAGCGTAGCCTTGGGAAGACTGAGCTGTTGCTGCTGCCGCCTCTGAAATTCAATAAATAAAAAGCTGGCCCGTGGTCTGTGAGTCTGTAGGTCTGGCACCTTTGAAATCATTACATTCCATTAAATACTCCATTTATTTGTTGCTTGCCTTTGATCATTAAGTCAGAAAATGTTCCTTTTCATAGCAATATACAGGTGGAGCAAAAGTGGGTTTACAATTGTTTGTATAAAAATAATAAAATGATTAATAATTATTAATACAAGAATAAACTTTGTGTTTCACATACTCACAATTGTAAACCTCTTTTGCCACACCCTATGATTAGGCCTGAGAACCTGAGTGATTTCAGGGACAATACTTTTTTTTTCCTTTTTGTAATCTTTATCTGAGGATGTTTACTGATTCTAGAGAGAGAGGAAGGGAGAGAGAGAAACATGCCGACCGGGGTTCTAACCACAACTTAGCTATGAGCCTTGACAGTGAGCTGAACCCACAACCTTTTTGGTGTACGTGACAATGCTCCAACCAACTGAGCCACCCGGCCAGGGCATCAGGGAGAAGTCTTATTCATAGTTGTAAACTTGTAACTGACATTGTAGGTTGGCAGTGATATTTCTGGTGGTAGTTACCTGCTCCAACAACTTTGTCAATGGATATGTTGGTGGCATCCAATTCCTTAGCAAACTCATGAACTGCTTGAGTAGGGTCTTCGTATGTATGTGGATCAACATAGGTTCTGAGACCTGGAAGTTTTACTGTTTAAGGGAAAGATGAAGAAATGTTATTGTAGCTAGGTTTAAAAACCTTGTTGCACAAATTTTATAACATTTTTGGTTAAAAACAATACCCATTATGATAAAATGCACCAAACCTCTAGTTTATTCTGAGATATCACAGAAATCAGCAGAGAGGTTGGACTAAGTACTGACAACTTAATAAAAAATATTCCCCATAATGAAATGTAAAGAGGAACCATAATGAGCTTCCTCTGTAAAAACACTAGAAGAAAAAAGGACATTGAAGGAGGGGATCTTAAGGAGAAGATGGTTCAAAATTGTGTAGGTTCAGTAATTTCATAGTAGCATTAGTGAGCGAACACCATCACCCTATAACACTTTTATGATTCTACAAACAGTAACCAAGTATCTATTACAATGCCTCATCTGACAATAAATAAAAGTATATAAAATATTTTCATAAGGTTGGATAAGTGCTGTAATACAGATAAATTAATTAAAGAATATAAAATGGTAACATTGGTAATATATATATATAATGATATTGTTTTAGCGAGGGACATGGTTGCTTAATGATGATATATTTTCTCATTGATCACACTAGAATATTAAATGATTATTTTATCCTAAAATAACAAAGAACATAAGACTTTATCTTTTCAAAAATCATTTTGTGATGAAAGAATGTTTTTGGCAAAATTGCAACTGAACATTCTGTGGGAGTCAAAAATGTCTTCGTGTCAGTGTGTATTGTGTACAGAAGAGGTGTGGGAACCGATGGCGGCAGCCATTCTGAGAAACGTCAGCACAGTGGGCATTAGACCGGTGCGTCCAGGATTGCAGCTTGGCTACAAAATGATCAGTTTGTGGACCTACAGGACAACTTCAGGAATTCCATGGTTACTCCATATACTTTTTGCTTCTGCAAAGCTTCCATAGAGGTTTAAGTAAAAAATTATAGACATAAAATTTATTTCCAAAAATGGTTACCAGAAGAGATGGGAGGTAAAACTCTATTTTCCTCACTACTTCTTCAGACGATTGTGAGATAGCAATATAGAAATGGGAGAGGGAGGGAGCAAATGGAGGACCTAGGAGAAGAAAGCTCTCAAATGCCTATCTCCAGTGCCTGTTATGTAGTAAGTGTCCCTAAATGTCATCATTAGTATTTTCACAATTATTACTATCACTGAGGTTTCCTGGATACAGAATTTGGGCTCAGAAATGCCCATTTCTTTTGAGCTCATAGATCAGTTTTCATACTTTGCCATTATTATAAACATTATTGCTTCCTATAAAAACAGACAGCAGAGTCACTCTTATAGTGGTCCATTATAATTTATTACTACACTAAAACTACTCCTAGCATTATCTGTACTAAAACACTTTACCCTTAAAACAAGCAAACATATTAAGTAAACCTATAATATCATGAGAAGAAAAGCTTTGGAGTAAGGAAAACAATAAAAGTAACCATAGACACTCTCAGAGATGTTAGGAAATAAAGCCTTGTGTCAGAATTTGTTTAAGTCAATTAGGTTACATTTTAATAAAGACTCACATCAAATGGAGGCTATGATTTATGATCAATCAGTTTTGCTTTTTCTCTAGTAATAATAATAGCAAGATAAGAAAATGGTAACATCAAAAGAAAACCTAGCTTTTTTTTCCAAGAAAAAAAAATTTAAAATAAGGTAAAAAAAAAATTATTCTGGTAAACGACTACAAATATCTTTCCCGTTTTAACTTAAGGACATAAACTTGTGAGAGATTTACTGACATCAGAATTTAAAAAGAAGATTATGAAATGAATGATCAGAAACAATGTCTCAAATATTATGACAGTGGATTTAAGAAGCCTTGCAATTGTGCTTTAGAGTGACCCTTCAATACCAAATAATCTGAAAATTAAATAATCATTCCCAAATAAAACCAACTGATTCATTCTGATTAATTAAAATGAAGTATATGGCTTTTCTATCCTCATGACATTTGGGGAAACAATATAAATATGCGCGCACACACACACACACACACACACACCCTCAAGTAAAATGACTTGCTCACTGTGGTAGTGTTGGCTGCTGACTTTTAACTGCTGACCCCAGAGATTCCAGGAATCAGGTGAGTCAGGATACAAGGCACATAATCCCCCCACACCAATAATTAAGGGCAACATACAGAGTAACTGGGCTGTGTCAAGCAAACCAGATAATAAACACATGCACACGTGTTAAGCTGCACTACTTTACAGCTCGTTCTGTGCAAACACAATAATTTACATTTCCATTTTACCAGCATGAGTTGCCCTAAGGATAGCAAAAACGTAGAAAGACTCAGTCAGAGAGGGCAATGGGACAGGATCTCAGGAGGTGAAACACATTACTTTCTTTTTGAAGCTATATTATGGGATTTGTAACAAGGGTAGGGGGAATAGTTCATAGCTCAAGCTTTTTAAGGTAATACCAATAAATGGTCTGAAATAAACCAGCTGTAGTATTAAGACGCAGAAAGTTTATGGCATGCATATAAGTTACTTTGTGCCCTTGCAGCTAGGATAAAATGCATTTCTTTTTTGTTTGTCTATCATAAAGATATTGTGCATTTGAAGAAAATCAAAGTTTCAACAAACTTTACCATAAAAACCAGCAGCTAAAACAGATCAGAGCGATAAAAGAGGCTACTTACAATTGGCTCACAGGAATATATCAATGCTCTAAATTCATGAGATTTATAATTCCCATATAAAGAACAAAATCAGTATGGTTTTGCTCTAAAAACAATATTTACATTGATTGTCCGACTCAAATTAAGAGCAACTTAATCCAAAGGAATGTAACTATTGTGAGTAACTTAAGCATGGCAATTTTCAGTGTTTTGAGAGACCAGGAAGAAAATCTAGACAAGTATCCTGTAATTTGTTCATGTACACTTTGAGGACTTTTGAGTTTGTAACCTAACTAATCTGAAATGATGAAATGTTGATATTAGAAAGGTAGTAGTTTGTGGGTTCTTTTTGTGAATTATTTTATAATGACAGCAATGAGGACAAAACAAACAATGCTCTCTGTAAACTCTGGTACTGTGTCAATATCGCGTCAATTTTCATTTGGAAATTTTTTTTTTCTTCAAACTACTCTATGCCTCTTGCATGTTAGCAACAGGTAATCAAGTTTTTACCTGAGTTACAACTAAAACTATAATTTTTAGATGCAAAGCCAATGACTGATAATGAAGTATCACACTGACTTAAAAATAATTTGGCAAGGCAATAGTGAATGCCAAAGAAAGGAATGTTTACAAAACTACACTAGTTATATTGAGATTATTTGAAACACATAAGCATGAGTATTGTCTCCATACTCATTCCCATGAGAATTAAGGCCACTGATTAGTAATTTCCACATTAAACTGAGCCATAGTCTGAAAAAGGAAAGACCTTGGGATGATTAGTTTCATCAGAAAAAAATAAAAATAAGTCTGTTTATTAGACATAAACACTTTGTTTCCTAAAAGAATATTTCTCTTAGAAAATATTTTTGCAAATATTAAATTGGTTGGTATTAAAATATGGGGGGAAAGGGCTGGCTTTCCTACTGATTGGATATCATGTAACTCCAAAATAAACAGTTTATTCTCCTGGTTGGCTGACAAAATGGAGTGAGGCATTTTACATAAACAGAGGTTGTTTCTATTTACCTGGCAGTTAGGACGGAAAAAAGGATCCTATTTATATTTTAGCAAAGGACTAGTAATAAGGAATTTGAAGATACGCTTTGCCTTTCAGCTACGCAAAGCTGACTACAGTTCTGACTCCCGTCATGTGCACTATTTGAATATAAACCACCGGTTACCCTTCGCTTTAGCTTAAATCTGCTTAAATCTGGCCATGCAAGAATTACTTGATGCAGAGGCATGCATTTTCTTCTCTGTTTAAAATAATTTTAATTTGCTCATTCCCCCCCTCCCCAACAAAAAAAATATACTACTTTTGAATTATCTTTGTCAGGAGAAAGTTACCCAATTATAAATGAACCACTGCCGAAACCGAAATGGTAAAACCAAAACACCATAACACTTTAAAACTTACAATGTCCATTCCCAAAATGAAGTCTTTTTTCATCTGTACCATGTTTTGACTTGTTATAGCCACAGAACCTAGAGGGAAATCGAGGGAAGAGAACACAGGAAGAAAATATACTTAAACAATTATCTATGCTCAGAATGTACAAAGCAGAAAATATAAAGCGTTTTTTCTTAAACAATTAAATGCTTTAGTGAAAGTTTAATGACTTTGTATTTCCTAAATCCTTTATAGAAAGCCCCTTGCCCAGGGGACCCTGGAAGCTGCCTAATGAGGAGATACGGAGAGCTGCTTCCCACTGTGCAGACCCCTTCAGTTGAATTTTTATAATGGCCTCAGAAGGTGTTTATAGCATTTTTTTTTAACAACTGCTGCTAGAATGAATGAAGGGTAAAGTCTCCATTGTTAGTGATTAATGCTGCTCTGGGTGAGAAAGTGTCAGGGAAATCTGGGGTGTATTTTAACAGTGAGGGGGGAAGTAAAACCTAGGAATGTGGTCAAAAGAGAGAGGAGACGGGGTGTGTATTGGAGAGTGAGGCCGGAAGTTAATGCAAAAAGGAAAACCAAAATTAAAGATGAGGAAACAGAAGGGAGAGGGGGAAAAAGAAAGATCTAGAATACAAATGGAGACATTCTGATTTGCTAACATACATTACTGAGCACACTTCAGGTTTTAGCAGCAATTGGGGGGAGCAAGCAAAGCAACAATAAAAGTAAGTTATAAAACAGACTGTGAACTCACCTTCCAATCAAAACGTAGGTGACGACTGTGAGGAGAATAATTGCTACCGCCGCTGAAATGGCAATCATTACCACTTGGCTATTTTCACCAGAGATAGAGAAAGCTGTGAGATTGAAGTGAAAAAAAAAATTAAAAGACCAGGCATTAACACATCATAACTAAAAGCTACATGGAAAATCTGATAAAGTCAGTCATATTTATTCTGCTTCCACCTGAAATATGGCTACTGTCTGGTATAATATAGAAGTAATTCTTAAGTGAGAATGAAAAAACAGACATTTACTACAATTTTGTGTGAAAATTTTAATTAATAAGATTAAATATTCTGTTTCAATAGCATTAATCAAATACTACTTGAGTGTCTACTGTGTGAAATGTGCTGGACTGCTTTTCTCTATCCTCAATGGCAAGAAATTCAATGGATACACCAGATAAATATCTTATGTTCAGCAGAGGAACAACATAGAGAACAGAAATGATTTCTCAGAATGAATTTTAAAAGCTTCCTAATTAAGCTAGTTTAGTCTCCAATACCTACATTTATTTGAAAGGTGATATAACAGCTGTCTTACAAGCCTCAACATATGCTGTTCCTCTCCCTGTATTCTCTATCTTTGCAAATGGCCCATCATTCATCTACTCACAGAGTGTTGGCAAAAGTCACCCAGGAGCAAATTCTGGCCAGCCATCAGTTTTGGTATAACTCAGGAGCTTAGAATGGTTTTACATTTTGTAAAGGTTGCAAAAAGTCAAAACCAGACAATTTTGTGACTTGAACATTTTATAAAATTTAAATGTTGGTGTCCATAAATAAAATTGTTTTGGACACATTCATTCATGTGTATTGTCTATGGCTGCTTTTATCCTATATAATAAAATCCTAATATGCAAATCAACCAAATGGCAGAATGACCAGTCGCTATGTGGCACAGTGACCACCAGGGGGCAGATGCTCAATGCAGGGCTTCCCCCTGGTGGTCAGTGTGCTCCCACAGCCGGGAGCACTGCTCAGCCAGAAGCTAGGCTCACTGCTGGCGAGCTCAGCATCAGTGGTGGGAGCCTCTCCCACCTCCACTGCAGGCAAGCAGTAAGGAGTGAGAGGTCCCGGACTGAGAGAGCCCCAAACTGGGAGATGGATGTCTGACTGCCAGCTTAGACCGGATCCCCGGGCCTCTAGTACTATAATAAATATCCCAGTAGAGTAGGAACAACAGAGACTATATATACACAAGGCCTAAAATATTTACTATCTAAGCCTTCACAGGAAGTTTACTGACCCTTGACCTAGACAAATGCTTTCTAGCTTTAATGTTCAAAAAAGCCACTCGAGTATCTTTTGGAAAATGCAGTTTCTATTTCAGGCTGGGGTGGGGACTGAGACTGCATTTCTTACGAGCTCCCAGTGATGCTGACGCAGGTGATGCAGACCACGTTTGGTAGCAAAGGTGTGGACCATAAGTATGAAGTCACCTTGTCCACTCTCTCTCCTGATGTTCTATATCCAATTCAACACAAAGCCCTTTAAGATATCTTAGTTTATGTCTTTCTCTTCTGGATTACAATTGGAAAGTCCTTATTAGTTTCTATTTTCATGTCTTTTTCTTTACCTGGTGACCAGACTACTCTTTCTAAACCATGAATTTGATTATGTCATTATAATGCATAAAATTTCTGCAGGGCTTTCGACTTTCAGGATAGAATGCAAATTCTGTAGCAGAAGATGTAAAGCTCATTAAGTCTGTCCCCTGTCTCAATCCCCAGCTTCGTCTGCTAGCAAACTCCATAAATGTCCTATTCTAGACTTTTTTAAATACACACAGTTCCATGAACAACCTTTTCAGTTGCACATACTTTAACCTACATTTCTTTTGTAGTAAATGCTGAATGTACAAATGAATGAATGAATGAATGATGTATAAAAGAGTTTAGAAGAGTAAATTTGGTTATCTGAATGCCATCACCTCTCCGAAAGCAAGCCAATATCTTATGCTCAGCCTGATCGAAATCTACATTTAGAAGGTTTCTCTAAAATAATGCAGTTATAGGACTGGTTAAATGATGCAAATAAAGAAACATGGCTGATGGCCTGGTAGAAGTTTTGCAAGCATTTGAAAAAGGAGCTCTGAGTCTGTAGGATGGCATGCACACTCCTAATATAAACTGTTGCCGCACTTTATTCTTTCCTACCAGCGGACTATTGTTTATACCACTGTGGCAGTCCTGGGAGTGCTTGCTTGGATCTCCCTGATGCCAAGCCTCAGCGGGCAGACGGCCTCCAGCTGCTGCACCTCCAGCATCCCCTGCAGCCACATGCACAGCACAAGCCGTGCTTCCCAGTGACTACACCTGACACGGGGACTGGAGTCAGCCCAGGTCTGCCCAATGCAGCGCCCTCCTTCACTCTGGGCGACCCATCAGATTGGTGAATCCCTCTGAACTGCCTTGCTGTCTAAGACTCCTCTTCCTCACCCTTCTCTTTCCCTCAGTTCTTCACAGATGGCTGAGCTACAGGAGGCGCTGCTTGCCCACTTCTGCTCCCGATTTTTTATCCGTTATCTGTGTTTCCCCATAAAAAGCTCTCATACTTCTATCTTAACATCTGCTTCCTAAACACCTGGACTGATATATCCTACCCATTAGCTATAGATATGTGAATAATTTGTAAAATAACTTAACTTAGTGATTCAATAATGCTCTATAAACATATACTATTAACTCTACCTCGTGCTTTTTATTTTGTACACTGTTATAACTTACAGAGAGCAGCAAGTTCTGAATTATTTGGTAAATTTTAGTCAGTTTTAAAAATAAGGGTTGCAAAACTGGAAGGGGAAAATGATAGAAGAAAGAAGTCGCTGTTGTTCTGTCCAATACAGGATTAAACTAGGACTTCTCTACCATTTCCACCAGCTCTCAATATCTATGAATCCCTGAGACATATAAAATCAGATCATTGTTTGTTACTGAAATGAGCAAACATTTGAATGCATAAAGTGATTAAATTTGTGTTATTGAGTTGTTTAATAATTTTACGTGGCATGCTGTTAAAACTAATATTACATGTCTTAGAAATTCAATTTAAATATGTTTTCTCACAAGCAAACTGCTCTCCTTGCTTCAAGTAGCATTGTGTTGATTTCTCTCCCTGAAATCGAGTGGTTGTGAGCTCACTCTCCTGACCCAGAACACCTGAATTTGTACTTAATTGCTGTGTGACATAATGTGATCTTGTGAGGATTAAATGAGTAATAAAGTAAAACACTTATGTAGAACAGTCCCAAGCACATAGCAAGTGCTTAGTAAATGTTACATATGTTTAGTATTGCATTTCCCCAGTGAAAGCTGGGCAAAAGTACTCTCTTCTACAAAATTACATATGAATGTCTAATGTTGGTATATAAGAATTCTCTATGTAATGATCCCACTCTACCTTTGTCAGGCTGCCTTAATAATAGGGTCCCAGAGATTAAAGTTGCTGCAGGTGAATGTATTAAAAATAACAAAAAGGAGGCGGGAAGCACTCAGGAGTAATAATTAAATTCTCCCCAGGGCTCATCTTCGATAGTAATGTTCATGGAATCCTCCAATTCCAAAACTCAGTTTTATTCCACATATTTTTGCTTTTAAAATGCCTTGGATGCTCAAATTATGCACTGCTATTTAAACATAACACACACAAATACTCTCACACACACACACCACCTACTATACCAGGAACATTTGTAAGTACTTTACAAATAATGATTAATTCAATCACCATAGACGCCTTATTGAGGATACAGGTTCTGCCCACTGAGGATTTTCAGACAGATGGACTGTCTGTTTTCCCAAACATGTTGGCACTTCCTGCTTTTGTGGACGTTGCCTTTATCTAGGAAAGTCCATTGACTCTGATACTTCCTATGCTTTCTGTGTCTTAGTTTAAGATCCTTTTCTTAGTATGTAAACTAGCAGGGCTGAATCAGTAGAAGTTCACAATCTGGAGGTTGTAGGGTCATTGACTGCACTTATTAGCCATGCAACCTCAGGAAAAACATAAATTCTCTGTCATAGACAGTGTATAAAAAGAA